GTTGGACTGGCGACGGCTGGGAATTCAAACTTTCCGACCCAGATGAGGTAGAGTGCCCTGGGAATGAAATGGCAAAAAGAATCGGTGTGGATTGACACTCCCCTTCGCCCTTTGGGGCGGAGATTTGAGCAGTCTGGTCTTTGGGTAGATGGAAAAAGAGGAAAAATTATTAAAAATTGGGTGGATTAACCCTCCCCTCCGCCCTTCTGGGCAGAGATTTGGGCAGTCTGGTCTTTGGGTAGAGGGAAAAAGGGAAAAATTATGGAAAATTGAGTGGGTTAACCCTCCCCTCCATCCTTCTAGGCGGAGATTTGGGCGGCCTGGTCTTTGGGTAGATGGAAAAAGAGGAAAAATTATTAAAAATTGGGTGGATTAACCCTCCCCTCCGCCCTTCTGGGCAGAGATTTGGGCAGTCTGGTCTTTGGGTAGAGGGAAAAAGGGAAAAATTATGGAAAATTGAGTGGGTTAACCCTCCCCTCCATCCTTCTAGGCGGAGATTTGGGCGGCCTGGTCTTTGGGTAGATGGAAAAAGAGGAAAAATTGTTAAAAATTGGGTGAATTAACCCTGCCCTCCGTCCTTCGAGGCGGAGATTTGGGCGGTCTGGTCTTTGGGTAGAGGGCAAAAGGGAAAAAGTGTTAAAAATTGAGTGGATTAACCCTCCCTCTCCACTCTTTTGGGCAGTCTGGTCTTTGAGTAGAGGGCAAAAGGGAAAAATTACGAAAAATTGGGTTGGTTAACCCTCCCCTCTGCCCTTTAGGGCAGAGATTTGGGCGATCTGGTCTTTGGGTAGAGAGAAAAAGAGGAAAAATAATGAAAAATTGGGCTGTCGTGGTATCTAGGGCCCAAAATTGGTGAGAAAATACACCGAAACTCTTCAAAAAGGTGAAGAAGGGACTTTCTGGTGGTTTTGGAGGAACAGATGGGACATTCCTTCCCTTCCCCGACTCCTACAACCTCCTGCATTGCCCGGAGTTTGGTTTTCCCGACCTTTTTCATCTTTTCCCACCTTAAAGATGAGGAAAACCCAACAGCGTTGGCTTCCCACCCAATGCAACTTCTTTTTTCCCTTCTCCCCAGGTGGCCAGGCGCTGGGGCAAGAGGAAAAACAAGCCCAAGATGAACTACGAGAAGCTGAGCCGCGGCTTGCGCTACTACTACGACAAGAACATCATCCACAAGACGGCCGGCAAGCGCTACGTCTACCGTTTCGTCTGCGACCTGCAGAGCCTGCTGGGCTACACGCCCGAGGAGCTCCACGCCATGCTGGACGTCAAGCCCGACGCCGACGAGTGAAGGTAGCGGAGGGTTTTCTCCCCTCCTCGAAGAATTTGGGACTTTTTTTCCAATTTTTTAATTATTTTTTCTTTTTTTTCCCCTCCTTTTTCTAAGTATTTTTTCATTTTTTAATGATTTTTTCCATTTTTTAATGATTTTTTTCATTTTTTATTTTTTTTCATTTATTTTCATTTATTTTCCTTTTTCATTTGTTTCATTTGTTTCATTTATTTTCTTTTTTCATTTATTTTCTTTTTTCATTTATTTTCATTTTTTTCATTTATTTTCATTTTTTCATTTTTTTCATTTATTTTCATTTTTTCATTTTTTTCATTTATTTTCATTTTTTAAATTTTTCAATTATTTTCATTTATTTTCGTTTATTTTCATTTATTTTCATTTATTTTAATTTTCTTTTTTTTCATTTTTTTTCCTTTTTTTTTTCTTTTTTCCTTTTTTTTCCCCATTTTTTTTTTTCCTTTTTTCTCCGGAAGAACTCAACGCTTTGAGCGCAAGAGGCAAACTTCAAGCCTAACAAGTTTGGTCTAGGAGAAAGACGCTCTCTTCATTTTTATTTTTTCTTCTTCTTCTTTTTTTTTTTTCCTAAAAGCTCCAAGACAGGCTTTTTTTTCTGAGGGTGATACGCCAACTTTTAAAAAAAGCCGGAAAAATGTAGCTCACCAACAAACCCCTCCTCGTCGCTCGCTGGTTAGGAAAAAAAGTATTTCTTGAGCGGATCCCTTCGGGTTTTTTTGTGTTGCGCAAACTGACAGGTCAGGAGACGACGAAAATTAGAGGATTTTATACTTTTTTAGGGAGGGAAAACCAAAGCAGGTGAATATTCCTGCTTCGGGGAGGGGCAATATAGGAAAAAAATCCCACTTGTCGTCACTTTTCTGCCGGTTCTTTCTTTTTCTACAAATGAGTTGCGGCTCGGAGGGATCAAGACTCTTTTTTTTTAAAAAAAAAAATTGTTAAAGTTTTATTTTATTAAATTTTGTGCCAGTATTTTTTTTTTTGTGCCAGTATTTTTATTTTTTTTTTTTAAATAGTCTTAAGCTCTAAGATGGTCTCAGTATTGCAATATCGTGCGTGTTTGTTTCTGTTATGCCAGCAGAGAGAGTTTTATCACAGTGAGGAAAAATAAAAAATAAAATAATAAAAAAAAATAAATTTACTTTATGTAGACCCCACTGGAGAAGCGCAGGGCGACGACTCGGCGTCTTCGAATCGTATGTGAAGGAAAATTAAACTCCAAAGTGGCTCCTCGTGATGCTCTTGCTTCCAGTCCCACACGCTCTGCTGGTTGAAATTTCCTCTTTTAATTTTTTTTTTTCCCCTTGGTAAACCCTCAGTATTTATGGGAAAAAAAGCATTTTCTCGCCTTTTCTGCCTCACTTTCGAAAATTAATTTTTTTTTTTTTGAAGAGGGAGAAGTGGTAAAAACCCCAAGTTGGTCAGCATTTAAAAAAAATAAATTGAATGACTAAAGGGAGGAGGTTAAAAAATAAAAATTAGGAAAAAATCGAATGACCAAAGGGTTAAAATATAAAAAATTAGGAAAAAAAAAATTGAATGACCAAAGGGAGGAGGTTAAAAAAAAAAAATCAGGAAAAAAAGAATTGAATGGCCAAAGGGAGGAGGTTAAAAAGTAAAAATTAGGAAAAAATCGAGTGACCAAAGGGTTAAAATATAAAAAATTAGGAAAAAAAAATGGAATGACCAAAGGGAGGAGGTTAAAAACTAAAAAATGAGGGGAAAAAAATTGAATTACCAAAGGGAAATGCTTTTTTTTCTTCCCGTTTCAACCAGCTCTGTTGTTATTGCTGTGCTTGGAAGCCAACCTGGGCACGCTCCGAATGGAAATTGTCCTTGAAAATGGGTTTTTTAGTGGAAAGATGGGTGGAAAAGAAGGAAAAAAGGATGGAAGGAAGGTGGAAGGAAGGAAAAGAGACGCTGGGAAGTTCAACTTCAGCGCGTCTCCCTGGGAGAAAGCAGTTGGAAAAAAGGAAAACTCCCTTTTATTTTGGATTTTTTTAGAAAGGTGGTTTTTTCGAAAGGGGCGGATGGTGGGAAGAGCCATTTTGGGGAAGACCCGTCGTTTCTCCTGGTTTTGGCTGTTTGCATCAGTTTCTCTTTTCCTCTATTATTTTATTTTTTAATTCCCAATCTCGAGACCATCCCAGAGGGGACTGTGTGCTGTTTATACACTGGAAATTTGCGGATTTTTTTCTTTTTTTTTCTTTTTTTTTCCTTCCTGCTTTTTTAACCGCCCGTCGCCTTTCGGCGAGGGAACCCCAAACGCCCTGAAAATTGGATTTGGGAGGGGAGGTGGTTGGAATTCCCTTCACCCTTGGCAGATATGGGTGGAAATTGGGTAATTTTGGGAAATTTTGCCTTCTTTTGGAACGTTTCGCTGTTTTTTCTGCAAGACTTTAGGGCTTGGTTGCTTTTTCCCCTCGAAATTTGGATGCCTTGGCGTGCTCTGCTCTCTCGTAGGGTCTATATAACACCCGTGAGCTGTTGTCTACATTCCAAAGAGGTTTTAAATAAATGATAAATCTATGTATACGTATATGTTATAATGGAATATCTCCAGGAATTAACTGCCTCAGTTAGAAAAAAAAATAAATCTTTGTTTTGTTTTCATTTTTACACTTTTTTTTTTAAAAAAAGCTGATAAAGATAGAAGTAAAAAAAAAAAAGAAAAAAAAAAGAGATTGTTATATTGTGCCGTTCGACTATTTTCCAACGTGTATTTTTCATATAATTTATATTTTTTAAAAGTGGAGGAAAAAAAAAATTTAAAAGCGAGATTAAACAAAAAAAAAAAAAAAAGGAAAAAGCAGGTGCTTTTTAAGAAAAAAAACCTGAGCTGAGGTAGCTTAGAGATGTAGCGATGTGTGTGTGTGTCCGTGTGTTGTGTTTCGTTTCTGATTTTTTTTTTTTTTAAAGGATACAAAAGAAAAAAAAAGTCCCTCCTGCATTGAATTCTTAAAGAAGGAGGGGGTTGGTTTCGTTTTAATTGCTGATGCTGGCACATCATTTTGCTGGAGAGTTTTTTATATACTGTAGCCTTATTTCATATCCTATTTTAAACCATGTGAAATTAAAAGAAGAGTAATTCATAACCCTCGCTGTCCTGGTGCTTATTCCCGACCGATCCTCTTGAAACTTGGGGAACAAAGTGGAAAAACGGTGCAAAAAAAATACCGAAACGTCTTTATTTCTAGGGCTGGGGAGGTTTTTTTGGGGGGGGGAAATTCCCAGAAGAATTTATCTCCTTGACTCTGGTTTACTCCAGTCAGCAC